CTCACCGCCTGGGAGCTGCTCCCCAGCACCAGTGCTCCCAGCAGATCCCAGTCCGGAGCTCCGGGGTCCTCTCGGGGCCGGGGAGAAGGGCGGCGGGCCCGGGACAGCAGGGGAAGGTATTAAAGCGCCGCCCCCGGGATGGCCCGCCCCGGCTGCGGGACAGTGCGGCCGGAGGGACCCGGCTGCTCCCCGCAGCCTCCAGAGCCTCCATCCCACCAGTGCTGGAGCCCCAGAGCCTCCACCGTGACACGGTTACTGCAGGGGGTAATTAAAGGCAGCTTTCCAGTCTCCTGCAAATCACGGGGATGCTCGGCAGCTCTGCACATCAGAGAATGCTATGGGGTTGGAAGGGACCTCTGGAGATCATCTAGTCCAACCCCCTGCCAAAGCAGGGCCACCCAGAGCAGGTCCCACAGGAACGTGTCCAGGTGGGGTTTGAATGTCTCCAGAGAAGGAGACTCCACCACCTCCCTGGGCAGCCTCTGCCAGGGCTCTGCCACCCTCACAGGAAAGAAGTTCCTCCTCACTTTGAGGTGGAACTTCTTCTATTCAAATTTGTGCCCATTTCCTCTTGTCCTGTCCCTGGGCACCACTGAAAAAAGACCAGCCCCATCCTCTTGACACCATCCCTTGAAGTATTTCTAAGCATTGATCAGATCCCCCCTCAGCCTTCTCTTCTCCAGAATAAAAAGGCCCAAGTCCCTCAGCTTCTCCTCCTAAGGGAGATGCTCCAGGCCCCTCATCATCTTTGTAGCCTCTGCTGGACCCTCTCCAGCAGTTCCCTGTCCTTCTGGAACTGGGGAGCCCAGAACTGGACCCAGTGCTCCAAATGGGCCCTCCCCAGGGAAGAGCAGAGGGACAGGATGACCTCTCCTGACCTACTGGTCACACTCTTCCTGATGCCCCCCAGGATGCCACTGGCCTTCTTGGCCACAAGGGCACATTGCTGGCTCATGGTTATCCTATTTTCCACAAGGACTCCTAGGTTTTTCTCCTCAGAGGTGCTCTCTCATACATCTCACATACCAGAACGCAGATGCAAAGGCCAACAGATACTGAGAGGTGGCAGGAAAACAGAATTACAAATGCTCCAGGTGCCCCAAGCCATACTCACAAGGGTCTAGGATGACACTGAAATCCTGTCCTGTTGGCCAGCAGAAGAAGAAAAGGCACAAACAGAGCCTGTAGAACCCCAGCAGCAACTTGAAGAGCACAGAGCATGGGTATTTAAGGACTAGGCAGAGCCCCTCCCCTGATTTGGGGCAGGATTTTACCCCTTCACACACTAGAGTAGTGTTATTACACACAGCTGAAGCCAGCAGAGCCGTGGTTTGCTGCAAGCACCTTCACTTCAGTTTGTATTTTGCACAGCACCTGTGAATCTATGCTAATCAGCCCAGCCTTTAAAGCCTATCCTAATTTTAAGAGAAATCAGTGGAACTTGCCCTGGGGCTGGAGATAGAGGCCACCTTGAAGCAGTCAGCTGAATCAAAGCATGGCTTGAAGTTACTGGGCTTGTATCCAGTCACTGGCTGCTTAATTGTACCAGGGGTGTATCTCTTCACCAAGAGAAGGTACAACACAAGCACCAAAGGTCACTGTGTTTTCACAACCTGCACTGTTCTTCAGCATCTGGCAAGAGTCTGGCTCCTTTGAGGTTTAGATACCCCCATTTTGCCTGTTCTTTGCTGCAGACGGGAAGAGATGCCTTCTGGGCTTCAGTTATGGACCTTTTCCTAACTCTGAGGTCTCCATAGTGCTGCTCTTGTCGGTGATGTACAGGAGATATTTAACTGATTAATTACCCTCTGGCTACAGCTGAGACCAAATGGCCCTTTTCCTAACTCTGAGGTCTCCATAGGGCTGCTCTCGTGGGTGATGTACAGGAGATATTTAACTCATTACCCTCTGGCTACAGCTGAGACCAAATGCCTACAGTAAAAGAAAAGGTGAGCCAGGCATGGGCTGCAAGTGGCACCGGTCCCTTTCTAACCTCTCCCAGCCTTTGACACCCTGGATTCAGCTGCCTTTGATTTCCTACCCTAACTCTAGACCTATTTATATTCCCCAAGTGACAGCTAATCTCTGATGGCCCTGCACCACGCAGCAATAAATTGGTCTCCTTGACCTTTGGATTGCTGAGCCTTAGCCCTAATGTGAGTTATACCTCTGGCACAGAGAATCTGACACTGTCCATCATCTCTACCAGCCCACTTATTAAATCTGTAGGCTTTAAGGAATACCAAAGCACCCTGGGGTCATCCCAACTTGTTCCCCAAACCTACAGGCCCCATGGATTTAAATTATATAGCGGGGTCCTGAATCAATAGATGTCCAAACCCTAACCTTAATGCAGAAAAAGATAAGATACTGGCATCCCTCCTCCTCCTGGCCTTTGTGCCTCTGCAGGATGCTGTGGCAACCCGGCTCCCGGAGCTTTGCTTTTCTAAACAACGATTTGTTCCCCAAACCTACAGGCCCCAAGGATTTAAATTATATAGTGGGGTCCTGAATCAATAGATGTCCAAACCCTAACCTTAATGCAGAAAAAGATAAGATACTGGCATCCCTCCTCCTCCTGGCCTTTGTGCCTCTGCAGGATGCTGTGGCAACCCGGCTCCCGGAGCTTTGCTTTTCTAAACAGCATCACCAAGCTAAGCCCTAACCTCCCCTACGGCCAGGAGATCAATTCCCATTCTTGGGAAGCAGAGGGACTCACCTGAGTGCTTCTGACACCTCCTCCACCGCCGGCAGTCCCAGCCCGTGCCATGTCATCACCTTCCTGCAGCGTGGGTACCAGCTCCTGGGTACCAGCCATCATCCCACACCATTTCCACAGAGGTCTGGTGGGGTTTTTCTTCCCATCGGGAATGCATCTCACTCTGAAATTTATTAACAAAAATAAATAAATAAATAGATATATATATTTTGGGGAAAAAAGCCCAAATGAGACTCTCACCAGTCTTTCTGCGTCACTTGTCAGCGTTTGTCACCAACAGCCCTGTCATTTCCAAAACATCTAATCCTGATATTATTTTCCTGATATGGAAAAAGCCATTTTGTTTCTATTATTGTGGCCGATTTCATTTCATGTCAGTCAATATTCTACTGAATTCTTTTTCTCATTGCGATGACCTAAGATCCAAGGGAAGCAGTGCTGCCTCGTGAAAACAAAACATCTGGCATCACCTTATCCACATGCTTTGATATTTCTGAAGATTTTCTTTCTCTTCTCCCCTCGTTTTGGTGCCAGTGGGAAAGAGCTGCTCCATTTTATCCAGAATATAAATGTCACTCTTGGAGCAAGCCTGGCTCTGTAATTGCATTCACGCTGTCCCCAGCAATAACTCTCTGGCAGAAAAAAATCTTCCCTAATTTCACTCGGAGAAATCCTAACTGGCTTCTTTTCCTCCAGCTACAGAACATGTGTTACAGAACTCGTAAACACCTTCTAATTAATTACACCTATTTCTCAAATGGAAGATGAATTCTCATTTATTTCCTTCGTGACTGCATTTTAAGCCCAGCCATGGCAAATCTGGGCCCCTCGGGTTTCTACCTGGGCTGCTTAAAAAATCATAATGAGTTTTCTCTGTTCTTAACAACGTGTCATTTAACTCTCCTTCCACCCTCTTCCTCTGCAATGAAGTCAAGTGTTCCCTCTGCCTCCAGGTTACTCCAGCCTCTGCCCGGAGGATCCTGCCCCCAGAGCTCAAAGGCTGCCAGATACAGCGAGCTACATCTTTCAGAGCCTCTCCCAATTTCAGAGGCTCCAAGTCCTAAAATAATTACAAAACATCCTGCTCAGAGGGCTCGATTCTCTACTTTCTCTGCAGATAACCCCCTACCTGGAAAACAATCCAGGTCCCCTTCCCACACCTGCCTAAAGGAATATTATCTCGCTATACTCAAGACTTCTTCTCAGGCCCTGTAGTGACTGGATGCCTCCAGGTTCCTCCAGCCTCTGCCCGGAGGATCCTGCCCCCAGAGCTCAAAGGCTGCCAGATAACGGTGAGCTACATCTTTCAGAGCCTCTCCCAATTTCAGAGGCTCCAAGTCCTAAAATAATTACAAAACATCCTGCTCAGAGGGCTCGATTCTATACTTTCTCTGCAGATAACCCCCTACCTGGAAAACAATCCAGGTCCCCTTCCCACACCTGCCTAAAGGAGTATTATCTCGCTATACTCAAGGTGCCGAAAAGATGCGTGGCACCTGAAGGGGCTTGGGATAACCATAGTTTTCTCTTTTTCCTCTTTTCCTCGGGTTGGACATCTCTGCTGGCAGCTGTTTAGGGGTGACACTGTAGGACTTGGCCTCTAGTAGATGAAGTGAGCCCTGAATCCTCTTCCCCTGGTAGCAGAGGTGCCCTTTTGACCAGGTCTTTAAAGGTAGACCTTAAAATGGCAGCGATTCTGTAGCCCACTGCCAAGTCGAGGGCTTGCTGCTTTTAATTCAGTCCCACCACTGTGTCCTGCCTGCCCGTGGGAGGAAGAGGAAGGAGGGGACACACAGGGCAAAGCAGGGCTGTGGCATGAAGTAAGCAGCCTCGTTTTTAGAGATTTTGAACAGCAGGCAATTCCCCAAGAGCCAGTGGGACAAGTTGCAGAGCTGCCCCAGGAGGCTCAGGGCCAAGGCAGGTCCAGCCAGGTGGCATCTCACCCCTCTAAGCCTTGAAGATGGTCCTGGACATGGACCTGTGGGAGCAGGTCAAAAGGAGGGACATGAGAGCTGGAGCACCTCTTCTGTGAAGAAAGGCTGAGAGAGTTGGAGTTGTTCACGGTCTAGTGGAAGATGTCCCTGCTCATGGCAGGGGGGTTGGACCAGGTGATCTTCAAAGGTCCCTTCGACTCAAAGCATTCTATGATCCTAAGTAGGGTCACAACACACGTGTTGGCACCATTGTTACTGCTTGTAATGAGCTCAAAGATGCCATCCCGGGAACAGAAATCCAGAAAAAAAAAAAAAAAAGAAAAAGAAATCCAGGGAAAAAAAAAAAACCCAGAAAGGCATCTCACCCCTCTAAGCCTTGAAGATGGTCCTGGACATGGACCTGTGGGAGCAGGTCAAAAGGAGGGACATGAGAGCTGGAGCACCTCTTCTGTGAAGAAAGGCTGAGAGAGTTGGAGTTGTTCAGCCTGGAGAAGGCTCCAGTGAGACCTTATTACGGCCTTTCAATATACAACGGAGGGGTTATAAGAAAGACTCAGACTTCTTCTCAGGCCCTGTAGTGACTGGACAAGGGGCAACGGTTTTAAACTGAAAGAGGGTAGGTTTAGGTTGGACATAAGGAAGACATTTTCCACTATGAGGGTGGTGAGGCACTGGAACAGGTTGCCCAGGGAAGTTGTGGATGCTCCATCCCTGGAGGTGTTCAAGGCCAGGCTGGATGAGGCTTCGAGTAGCATGGTCTGGTGGGACCAGGCCATGGCAGGGGGATTGGAGCAGGTGATCTTCAAAGGTCCCTTCCGACCCAAAGCGTTCTATGATTCTAAGTAGGGTCACAACACACCTGTTGGCACCATTGTTACTGCTTGTAATGAGCATAAAGATGCCATCCCGGGAACAGAAATCCAGAAAAAAAAAAAAATCCAGGGGAAAAAAAAAAAAAATCCAGAAAAAGAAATCCAATGCATGTATCAAGGAATGTGCTGTCTGGTGGGAGCCCGGGGATGTCAAGGGCTGTATTTCACCTGACATCACTCTGACTCTTCAGCACGACCTGTGGAAGATGCCCAGCCCTGTTCTGTGCAGTGCTGACCTGGAGGCACCAAATACTGCAAATGGATTGTGTGCAGCATGGAGCTAAGGGAAGAGGAGGCAAATCGCCCGGTCACGGTCCTGCATTTCATTTAAAAAGTCAACTGGCTTAAGCTTCGACTGACATGGCAGCTCTTTGCTGGAGAATGATACCCAGAAGGTGGGCAGAAATGGTGAGCAACCACCACAGGAAGGCTGAGTGGGCTGGAGCCAACCTTCCCATCACCAGGATACTGATCCAGGGTAGCATGGTCTGGTGGGACCAGGCCATGGCAGGGGGATTGGAGCAGGTGATCTTCAAAGGTCCCTTCCGACCCAAAGCGTTCTATGATTCTAAGTAGGGTCACAACACACCTGTTGGCACCATTGTTACTGCTTGTAATGAGCATAAAGATGCCATCCCGGGAACAGAAATCCAGAAAAAAAAAAAAATCCAGAAAAAGAAATCCAGGGAAAAAAAAAAAATCCAGAAAAAGAAATCCAATGCATGTATCAAGGAATGTGCTGTCTGGTGGGAGCCCGGGGATGTCCAGGGCTGTATTTCACCTGACATCACTCTGACTCTTCAGCACGACCTGTGGAAGATGCCCAGCCCTGTTCTGTGCAGTGCTGACCTGGAGGCACCAAATACTGCAAATGGATTGTGTGCAGCATGGAGCTAAGGGAAGAGGAGGCAAATCGCCCGGTCACGGTCCTGCATTTCATTTAAAAAGTCAACTGGCTTAAGCTTCGACTGACATGGCAGCTCTTTGCTGGAGAATGATACCCAGAAGGTGGGCAGAAATGGTGAGCAACCACCACAGGAGGGCTGCGTGGGCTGGAGCCAACCTTCCCATCACCAGGATACTGATCCAGGATGGGGGCTGACATTGTCCTCCTTCCTACCTGACAGCCTTGGAGCTTGGGAGATAAGTGTTTAGGTGATAACCACACTGAGGAGTCAAAAGAGCCTGTAACCAGCAGGCTCTTGCTCTCTGGGGACAAATAAACACGGTGCCAGTGTCTCCACCCTGGAATCCCTCCCCATGAATAAGGTAGTGGTGAGATGAAAATGTAATGGGATCCCAGTGCCCAAGGGGGAATGGGCAAAATGCTTGGGGGGCACGCTGCCCCCCAGAGCATTGCTTCTGGCTCTATCTCCTGAATTATTTACAGTGCTGTGAAGGAGCCAGCAGTATTTCTCTTACCTCGTGAAGAAAATGATTTCCTTTTAAGACCCCAGTAAGGCTTTGGCTCTTGGGAGGCTTTTCCTTGTTTATTTCTTCTCTGATAGAAAAGGAAGAAAAATTATTATCACAACAAAGAACAAAGGGATTGGAGAACACTTGATATTTCTACACGGCTCTTTTTAAACCTAGAACTTTAAATTAATTCTCTTGGCTTAAGAGCAGCAGAGCTAAAAATCTCCTTGCAGGGAAGGGAGTTAGCTGCAAAGCAAGGATGTGGGCTGTGTGTGTTCCAGCTGTGCCTCGAGGTCTCAGCTGGGCTCAGGGCTGTCCCTGCCTGCTCCCTGGCATCTGCAGGCCAGGAAAAATCAATGCTGGTGTGAAAAGAGAGCACAGATGAAAGAAAAACCCAGCGGAGGGAGAAGGGAAATCTCTGCAGCAGTGACTATTTTGGGGAGCAGGTACCTGCGCCCGTGCAAGGTCAGCGTCACGGCCAATTGCTGGATCCTTGTACCACCAGCCAGGACTTCCTCCGCTTGGGGGGCCCCCCAGTGCATTGCTTCTGGCTCTATCTCCCAGATTATTTACAGTGCTGTGAGGGAGCTGGCAGTATTTTTCTTACCTCGTGAAGAAAATGATTTCCTTTTAAGACCCCAGTAAGGCTTTGGCTCTTGGGAGGCTTTTCCTTGTTTATTTCTTCTCTGATAGAAAAGGAAGAAAAATTATTATCACAACAAAGAACAAAGGGATTGGAGAACACTTGATATTTCTACACGGCTCTTTTTAAACCTAGAACTTTAAATTAATTCTCTTGGCTTAAGAGCAGCAGAGCTAAAAATCTCCTTGCAGGGAAGGGAGTTAGCTGCAAAGCAAGGATGTGGGCTGTGTGTGTTCCAGCTGTGCCTCGAGGTCTCAGCTGGGCTCAGGGCTGTCCCTGCCTGCTCCCTGGCATCTGCAGGCCAGGAAAAATCAATGCTGGTGTGAAAAGAGAGCACAGATGAAAGAAAAACCCAGCGGAGGGAGAAGGGAAATCTCTGCAGCAGTGACTATTTTGGGGAGCAGGTACCTGCGCCCGTGCAAGGTCAGCGTCACGGCCAATTGCTGGATCCTTGTACCACCAGCCAGGACTTCCTCTGGTTATTCTCCTGCTCAAGCACACAAAAGGTTGGAGAAGAAATAAAGGCAGATAGGGGCAAGCTGAAGGTCAGAGGAAGAAGTCGGTGCTGGGGTCTTCCAGAAACAGTAAGAACCAACCCCTCTCCCATAACTTCACCTTCTAATTGAGGCAGAGGGGAAGACTGATTGAGGGGCTGATGAATGAGATTAAATTAAGAGGTCAGATGAGATTTCTGGGGAGGAGCATGCCGAGATCTTCCATTCTCCACACGGGGACCGGAGGCCCCTCTGCCCTTCCTGGCTCATTTTACATCTGTATTTGCTGAGGACAGCGGGACCAACAGCTTATCATTGTCTCCAACTCATTTGTAACTGCAGAGCCACTGATCTCTTGTTACTTGATGGCCTCAAACTGACCCCAAATGTCTCAACTCACCTTGGTGGCACCGCAACCCAACGCTGCAGCGCTCTTGGACGAGAGGGTCCCAAAAGTGGGTGATGTGAAAGCACCAGAGGGTGATTTGGGTGTTTTGGGGGCACAGCTGGTTCCTGACGGGATCCCTTCCAACCATCCTCCTCTGGGGGATACAGAATTGGGGAGGGGAAGGGTGTCCCCGGGGGAAGCCACCACTGATGCTGCCTGGGTTCATGTGTGATGGTTGTGGTGTCCATGCAGCTTAGTTAACTCCTCCTAAACGTGCTCTGGCTCAGTCCCCCCTGCTCCCAGCTGCTTCTGCACCCTGTCAGGGGTCCATGAGCTTCCACACTCGATCCTCCCCGTGTGAAGTGCTGTCAGGGAATCCTCCCTAGGGCTGGATTTGGATGTTACGGAGTCCCCGAGCTGAGTACATACCTTTAGGGCATTTTCCATCACTGTTACAAAATGGTTGTGCCTTGTCTAGCACAGAGCTTCACTTTCCAGGGCACCATAAATTCACTGATGATGAATTAACAAGCCCTGGAATTAAAAAGAGAGAGAGAAATGTGAGTGCAAATTGATTTCATTTCACCTTCCCTTGTGTGCGTGTGCTGGGCATGAGGATCCAGTCGATTATATTATTGTATCTGCTGGGATAAACAAAAAAATGCAGTGGTGTCAGGAGGCTGCTGTACTAAAATGAAATTACTCTTTGGGCTGCCTGTGGCCAACCCCACTTAGAGCAATTGCTTTGGGGACTGGCTGATGCTCGATGGCCTGCTCTGAAATGCAATCAAACCTGCGGCGATTAAATGAGACCCAAGACCATCTGAATTCAGTGTTTAAGCTATTTTTTCCCCTCTTTTCCTTTCCTTGTCTGAGCTAGGCTCCTATCCGTTGTAAGAAAGAGAGAAATAAAGGGGAAGGGAGCGATCTTTTAGGCTCTTTTCTCCTTCCAAAAACCAGCAGAGAGCTGGAAGGAAGAGGGGTGCAGGGGGATGCAGGAGAGTACAGGAGGGTGTAGAAGGATGCAGGAGGGTTTGGGGGTGCAGGAGGGGGGCATGAGGGGGTGCATTAGGATGCAGAAGGGTGCAGAAGAGGTACAGGAAGATGTAGGGGGTGCAGGAGGATGCAGGAGGGTGGGGAGGTGCAGGAAGGGTGCATGAGGGGGTGCATTAGGATGCAGGAGGGTGCAGGGAGGTACAGGAAGATGTAAGGGGTGCAGAAGGATGCCAGAGGGTGGTGGGGTGTCTGAGGGGGGCATTAGGGGGTGCATTAGGATGCAGGAGGGTGCAGAAGAGGTACAGGAGGACGTAGAGGGGTGCAGGAGGATGCAGGAGGGTGGGTGGGGTGCAGGAGGGATGCATTAGAGGGTGATTAGGATGTGGGAGGGCACAGGAAGGTGCAGAAGGATGCAGGAGGGAGTAGAAGGATGCAGGAGGGGGGGCATTAGGTGGTGCATTAAGATGCAGGAGGGCACAGGAGGGTGCAGGGAGGTACAGGAAGATGTAGGGGGGTGCAGGGGATGAAGGAGGGTACAGGAGGGTGTAGAAGGATGCAGGAGGGTGGTGGGGTGTTGGAGGGGAGCATTAGGGGGTGCATTAGGATGCAGGAGGGTGCAGGGAGGTACAGGAAGATGTAGGGGGGTGCAGGGGATGCAGGAGGGTACAGGAGGGTGTAGAAGGATGCAGGAGGGGGGGCATTAGGTGGTGCATTAAGATGCAGGAGGGCACAGGAGGGTGCAGGGAGGTACAGGAAGATGGAGGGGGGTGCAGGGGGTGCAGGGGGGGACAGGAGGGGGTAGAAGGGTGCAGGGG